TTAGGCCGCGAATAGATTCACCCAAACTTTTGCATTCCATCTTCCACTTCATCAAATACTTATCTTTTGGGATGAAGATGAGGTAAAAGTAGTGGAGGCTAACAACCTGCCATTTGTGATAAGGGTCTACCATGCAGATGCTGAGTAATATAGTGAAGAATTCATTCCAATTAGATTTATTGGAAGGGATACCAAGGGCCGTCTTAAAGTGTTGTTCTTACCCTTTTCGAAGTCATCAATCTATTGATCATGAATAGATCTTCAATTCCGTTTCTGATCTCGGACTTGAAATTCGAACTGAAAATTACCTGCAATTCAGTCACACTTGTTTTGACTACGAAAATCGCCAATTATAAATTTTATATCTCACATGTTAGAGGGAGTTAATTTTATCCCAAAAATTACAAACTTCTATATATCTAAATAAATAACAAAAAATATAAAACTGCATGATTGGAAATTTTCACCCGGATATAATACAAAATATATATACAGCTATATTCTGCATTTGAATTTCTATCCTGTCAATTTCTTTTATATTATAAGTACAACTACAAAAGTTCGTGATCCTCTCTATTCTTCGATGATTTGAGTCTCCTCTCTTAGTAGAGGTTCTCTGTTTTCAGAGTTTGAGTTTCTTCAACTTGGTGTTTCTATGGGATGGATTCACTACTCCATCCCGGCAAAAGTTCATTTGGATGGTCGGATCCGATGGAAATTTGGATCTTATGGGTTGTTCGATCGAGGGTTTTGACAGGTGGATGGATTTTTGGCCAATCTCCACTGTGTTTCCCTTTTGATCTAGGTATTTGGTTGGTTTTCTTGGCTTCTATATTAGTTCTACTTTTGTTTGTCCAATTGCTTATAAGCGTTAGGTTTTTGTCTGTGGCCATGCTTTCTGGGTTTCGGTTGGTTGTTGCAAGGGATTCCTTGTCGTCGGGTTCGATATTTGGGAAGGGTTTTCTCAATTCTTGTGGTGCATTGTTTTCTTGGTTGTGCGTGCTGGAGTTTCTCTCATGTTTAAGGTTGTTGCGCGTTGGACGTGTTCATGTAGCAGGTTGGTAGCTTATTTATCTTGCTCTGATCAGACTTGCCTCTCCTCCAACCGCCAATGACTATTGGTCGTGGCTAGTTGTTGCCGAAAAAATCTATGAGGCTGGATATCATTCGGAGCTTCAGTTTTTTGCTGATTTCTATTCTTGTTGGTGTTTTGTTTTTTCCAACGACACTTTCCATGATGATGGTTTGCCGGCGATTGGTCAACTCCCTTGGTTTGGTGATCGTGACACCTTTGGTCCCCCTCGTTTCTCACGTCATTTCCCGTGGCGTCTGATTTTGGATTTCGGGTCAAGAATGGTCTGCGCTTTGTGTCAAACGTGGTCAGTGGTGCGTGTGAGTGACAGACCCGCACGACTTGGAGGGCTTATCCTTGTGCACGTGGCCTTAGTTATCAGCCTTTACCGGCTCATTTGGCAGTCTCGTTGAGCAGTTGGTCTGCAATATGGCTTTTGACTTTTCATTTTCTATGGTGGGCTATGCTTCGATGTACTTTTGGCATGGTTGTATGTGGTCAGGACCAATGCCTTGCCTTTGTAAGGGGTGCCTGCTTAATTGTGTGTCCTATTGTTTTCTTTTTGTGGGTCTTGTTGTTCTTTTGTTGCGTTGCTGTGGTTGTTCAGTTTGTTTGCTTTGATTGTGTTTAGTGGTCTTGTTTCTTGTAGATGCCGTAGGGCTTTTGTTGCCAGGAAAAAAAAAAATATCTATATATATATATATATATATATATATATATATACATACAGCCATGTTTGTCTCAATTTTTGCTACTAATTTGGCTTCTATCTTCGTTACCATGTAAATGTTCCCTTTTTTTCTATTTGATCGACCATCCATGACCTTTGTTCTGCTTGTTACTTATATGTACAAATTATTACTATTTCAATATTAATACTGTAAATTAAATGACAGACCAGACTGTATAGGGTATGCAGATTGTTAAGGCAATTTTCAACTTAAGAAAGAGATATACTCATTTATAAAAATAAAAAATAAAAAATTATAAAAATAAAAAATTATTCTTTTATTTTGGTTTTGAAATTTCCTGATTAATATTGGTGGTGATTGATTTGAAAAAGCAGATACATAGTATTAGGTTCTGTGGTCCAACATTTTTTCTGACCTTGTGAAGTGGCATCTACAAAAGAATGTGATAGCTCAGATGGTCATGATCATCCAAATCAGTTCAAATTGGAATATTAGAGGACCATTTCACGAATCACGCACCGGGAACAAACCTAAGTTTCACGACTTCTAACACACGCATTAGGCCCCCTTTGCCACAAATTTCACATGATCTGATTACTTAATTACAAACAACGAAAGGTCATTAGCGTTCAGTCACAAATCTCAATATATAAAAAAAATTACAGATTCGAAAATTTCACGTTGATATAATACCAAATATACAACCAAGTTTAGCTCATTTTTTGGTACAAATTTGGCTTCAATCTTCTTTATCATGTTCATTTTTTCTGTTTGGTCGACATCATTGAACTTTGTTCTTTTGCTTGTTACTTGTATATACAAATTATTACTAAGGGAATTTTCAAAATTAAAGCAATTTTTATTTTCATGCAATAGCAAACTTCAATTTGACTTTCACAGAAAAGAATAAAGTGAAACAGAAAAAGTCTAAGAATTTAATTCCTTCCTTTTTAAAAGTTGAAGAATCAATGAAATTTCAAGCTTACCTAAAGGTAAGATTGAAATACCAATTCAGGAATTTGGTCATGACACTTTTTTTTTTTTCATTAAAGATTTGCTCATGATATATACTTGAACCACAAAAACCACACACTTTCCGAGTATTATGGATCTGCAGGGGTTCTCAGTTTGAATAAACACATGAACTATATATTTTATGAGCACATTTGTGACTATATATTTTATCAGCACATTTGTGAAGTCAAAGTGGATTTTGAAGCTAGCTAGTAACTTCTGAGTTCTGCCATGCCGATTCTCTAAAAGAGTGTTATTTTGAATTTTAATTTTTTTTTTCCAGATAATTCGGGTGACTCGGATTTCTCCTCGACTAATCTATGGGACCAGTACAAAATGACCCTTCAACACGAATTCATACTATGTTTGCAGTTGTCACTACTAAATAACTTATTGTATTGGCGAAAATTCGAACTGGGACTTAATAATGCTTCATGATGAGACACTAAGTCCAACCAACGCTTTCACCTTTAGAAGTTTATGAGGAAAATTTTTAGAAAACGAAGATAATATATATATGTAAGCAATTTGCTTTATGTTATGAGTTGATTTGAAGGGCTGTCGCTTGAATGTTGTTTGAGAGAGAGGAATAGAGAGCTGTTGGATCAATGAACAGTGTCCATAGTCTTATCAGTACTTAGTATTGACAAATCACTTGGTAGTAGTTTCGAGGAGGTGGAGGTTTGTTAGGGTTTGCACTGATTACTTAGGCATGGGTATTTTATTAATTAGGCCATTACATAATGTTTGTGTAACTATAATTATATGAAAGCATAGTGATATCACAATCAAATAGATACATTTTTACTTGTATTGCAAGATATAATTGGTTGTTGATAGCAAGTGGACACAGAATCACTAATGCACTCAAAACTTTCTCATGTATTATAAAAAATGTTAGTGGTCTTATTTCCTCTTCCCATTAATAGTCAGCCCGCCCACCTCTAGTTAGGGAGTCTTAATTCTAAGAGAGACGACCGCACACGAATCCCCTATTAAGGGTGACCACACATTAGACATGTGCCTCTATCTCCTTTGTTGTTCATGTAATTGACCACACAAGTGCCATGCCCATAAAATTTAACGAAAACGATTTAATTTTGAATTGAGAGAGACCGAATAAGACACAAGTGGGATCTGGGAACCATACATATGTGGGCTCTCACACCCCTAATGTCCTATGACAGTTTAAATTGGAGTGGACATCAGGTAAGCCAATTTAATGAAAATGTAGAGTCCAAGAGAATTGATCCCACCTACAAGTAAAAATTTCTATTTTTTTACTTGAATTATGCTTTTTCTTTAACTAGACATATCAATAATGTGATTGCATTTTTTATTGGTTGGACATATCAACGACTTGGGTCATATACGTCATTGATATTTTGAGAACCATACATATGTGGGCTCTTACACCCCTAATGTCCTGTGACAATTTAAATTAGAGTAGATATTAGGTAAGTCAAACATACTGCGTTGTTGTAATGTCTGGCTAATACAAATGTACAATTAACTCTCTTGATCCCGGCCACCTACACATAAAAACTGTTATCTATCAACTTGAGTTGTGCATTTTCATTGGCTAGACATATTAATAACATGATTAAATTTTTATTTGCTGGACATATTAATGACGTGGTCATACACATCATTGATATGTGTGGGAACCATACATCTGTGGGTAGGGACAGATCTAGGAATTCATATGAGGGGGTGCAAATTTATATAGAGAGATTTTTTTTATAATTTCAGTGGGAGCAATTTTAAAATTTTATGGATATAAATGCAAAAAAGTATAAATTTAGGGGTGTAAAATGAAATAATAAAAAATTTCAGTGGGGGCCACAGATACGTGCTTGTCTGTGGGCTCTCATATCTCTAATGTCTTGTGACAATCTAAATTGAAGGAGTAGATATTAAGTAAGCCAGACATACCATGTCGTTGTTATGTCTACCTAATGAAAATATACAATTGAAGAGAATTGATCCCACCTATATATATAAAAACTGCTATCTATCAACTTGAATTATGCATTTTCATTGACTGGACATATCGATAGCATGTAGCCAATAAAAATGCATGATTCAACGTCTTCTCGAATCGAAGAGCATATCACTATTCAAAGTGAGCAAAGCTCCTCCTCCAATAAGTACTGTATAAACAAGGGAGCTACTCTTTCAACCTCCCATCACTTCTCATGGGCAAAAATAGATGGCAAACATGTGGAAACAGAGAATATATAAAGCTAACTTCATTACATTTTTTTGCTAGCAAATAGGCTGCAACCTGCATGCCCAAGCTAATAGAAGAAAGCTATTGTGTATTGATCAATACATAGAAACACGACTTAATAGAATACTAAAGAGCCCATTAAGAGTGAGCTAAGCTTATTCATCTACTTAATAATAATGCATTTGATGCCAGAATTAAGATAAAGCCTGATATGGCTGCAGCAGTGGAATCAGAGAGCCACTTAGGTGGAGGGACATGACTTCATTGGTGGATCCAATTAGTTTCCCAGCTATGAACACAGCTGGTACAGGTGCATTAAACCCCAACCTCTTGAGAGCCTTCTCCATTTCCCTTCCTTCGGGGTCGATATCGATCTCATGAACCACAGGGATCACCCCAAGTTCTTGGAACAGAATGTTGACAGCATAGCTCAAGCAACATGTGCTCTTGCTGAAGATCACTACCCCATTTTCAGACACCAATCTCATCACCTTGTCCATCTTGACACTCCAAGCAAGCTCAAGAAGATCAATTACCTAGATTCCTTTGTACTAGAAAACAATTTTAAATTAAAGATCTTGTGGGCTTTTTTTTAAGGTTAAAATGAGATGTCACAACTCATCAGATCGAATCCATTTCGGATTTCGATCTGATGGTTGGAGTATTTTCTAGCTGTTAGGAGGGAAATAAGAGGAACGGAGAGATCTATGGGCAAAAGAGCAATTAGTTTGAGGCTTTAAGGTTGCTTGTACTTGAGTTCTCGGGCCACTCTCTATTTATAAACAACTAAGAACATTCAAAAGGTGATATGCTTTTGTTAGATGCCAATAGCGCGCTTAAATAAAGTTACTTTTGAAGACATATATATATGCTATTTTTGAATTGTTCCACACGCACACTGTACTTTTCATCAAGACATATATAGATGCTTTTCTTAGATGCCAATTCCCATGTGCATGTATGTTGACAATTCAATGGCCCTTTTTTTTTTTTTTTTTTTTTTTTTTCTGAATGATTAGTGTAAAATGATCAGTTGATCGAACTGGTTTGTAGCACAGTTTGCAGGCTAACAACCATGTATTCTTCAAATCATCTGGTCCATGGACCATGGAAATGCAACCAAAGGGTGGTCAAATTTTAACAGATTCTCCCAATCAACTTCTTAATATTCTCGGGTAGAAAGATCAGGAATGAGATATATAGCTTTCGGTGGCTGTGATTCTTTGTGTTGTTCGTGCCCACCAACTTTCACGATTCCTTCCCACGAGGGAGCATGTGATGATGGATCATGAGGTTCACGAGTCTCTGTTCATAAATTTTGTGGATGATCAAGCAAGCAAACATCTACTATTGAACACAATTGGGATGCTAGAGAGACTTCTGTGATCAAAACAGAGAAAGTGACATTTTCTTTGAGTGAATACTTAAACCACAAAATGGACCAAATTATTGGCAGTAATGTTGAGTTTGTAGCACCGATGATAGTGCATGGTGCATGCAGCAATGTAAATGTGTCATGGATCCATGACTCTATATATAAACATCCATATTTATGTCACATACATGTATGTATATATATAGACCTGCGTGTATGTATGCATTTGGGAAGCCCAGCATTGTTTTGCCATTTATGGCAAGATGAGAGCTCTTTCAATAACATCAGGGGCTTAAAAAAGTTATTGGATTTTTGGACATGGACGAATTCAAAGAGGGCAGAATAGGTTTATATATTACACATGACTTCACTACAAGTACTTGGCAACTTTTAACTTGTTATCATCTGTTTTAATTTATTATTTTTTTTTAGTTGATATAAACATTCTTTTAGGAATTATTTGCACTACAGAGAATTAGAACCTCGGACCTAATACTTCATGAGACATTAGAGTCAAGTTTTTATCCATTTGGACCAACCACTTGAATTAATGAATGGTATCATCTCTTGTATCAAGACATCCATTTAAAGGGGTGACAAAGTTGGCAATTAAAAATGAAACGAGTGTGTTTGGTTCTATATTAAAAAATAAATAAAAATGTTGTTCTCCAAATAGACAGAAAAAAGTTTTTTAATTAAATTGTATTTTCAGAAAATAATTTTTATAAAAAGAATTGTCAACTAAATAAACTTTTGTAGTGTATTTTGTATTTACTTTTTTAAAATCAGAAAATTGAACCAAACCCGTTTAAAGGATTCCACTTTGTGTAAAAAATTGAACACTCATAGCGTAAGAAAATATTTGCATGGTTTGTGATTATTGAAACAATTTTTTGAAAATTGTTTTGTGAAAATTCAGTTATAAAAAGACTTGTTTTTAAATAACAAGTCTTTTTTAATTTTTTTAAAAATATTTTATATTTTTTAAATTTTTAAAAACTATTTTTAAAATTATAAATCAAGCATGGCTTTAATTTCTACTTAGGGTTGAAAACAATCAACTTGTAATGAAAGATCATTTTTTGGCTCTGTTTTTTGCCCCTATGTGATCTCTTATCCCATGCGGTCGTCTTCCACTAATAGGTTTCTTCGAATATACAACCCGAGTTGCAAGACCATTGAAAAACGCCCATGAAAATTTCGCATCAATTTGGTGGTGTTGCAGCGGGAACTTTACCTACTTGTACAATTGTCACTTGTGCTCACTTCTGACATGTTTGAGACATGTTTATTTAGTGGATTCAAAGTGACGCATTCTATAAACTTTATTAATTATGTGCTATTTTAACACGTGGGAGAAGTTATTCTAAATATTCTTCTTTTTTTATTTTATTTTATTTTATTTTATGTGCTATTATTAATTATGTGCTATTTTAATACATGTCTCTTTTGAGTCTTGAACTCCTGATCTCTTTTGAGACTTGAACTCCTGATCACTAGCCCGTTGATTATTCTAAATATTCTCAAGGGGTGGTGTTTGAAATATTATTGCTGTTTGGTCATGATAGTTGACTAGACCATTGGATTGAACTAGAAAGAAGAAAAGCATAAATTTATGTCTGAAAGTTAACTTTATTTTAGGGTAGAAATAAAATTATCGAAAGATTTTGTGGTGACTGATAAGTGTTCAAATGTTGCGCATTTTAGCACATAAGTTAGGGTATTTTAATCCTTTCATCTAACTTACTTTCCTGTTTTAATTTTAATTCTTGTTTTCGTTTATTTCAGGTCAATAAGGTTCAAATGAGCTAAAAACATTCCATTAAGCCCTTTTTAGAGTCAAGCAAAAAATTCAAAAAAAGTTCAAAAAATTGCACTGGAGCATCCAAGATCGGTTGCAGATTATTCACGATTGATCGCAGGCCATGTCATCAATAGCAGCCACGTCAGCATTGGATAAGGCTGCCACGTCATCGTTCGCTCAAAATCACGATCGATCGCAACCAACTACGATCGTTCGCAATGCCATATCAGCGCTAGCTCAGCGGATAGGATTGCCAGTTGTCGAAGATAAGACTGTCACGTCAAATACGATCGATCCCAGAAGTTGGCGATCGATCGCAATTCCACAATCGATCGCAACTCTACTGATAGTGAGCTATTTTATTCTCGGTTGCGTCCAAACTTCACATACCAAGTGGCTGCGAGATTGAACCAATTAGAAGGCCATTTTTTGACTTGTTTTGCACTCTAAGGAGTTTGTATATAAAGTAAAATGAATCATTTGTTAGGGGTTTCAAGAATTGTTCCATATTATTGCATCTAGTTAACTTTTAATAAAATAGAAATTCTCTCTCTAGAATAGGGTTTTTTGTGAAAAAAAGAAGCAAGATCATCATTATCCTTAGGGTTTCTACCAAGAAGACCAAGAGGAAGAAGATGGAGCCATGTTTGGGGATTGCCCTTGAGGGTTCCATTTCCACATCGACCTCATCTATGAGTGGTTAAACACTATCTTAGTGTTTGAATGAACTCTAGGCTTGCGCTCTAAACCTTATCTCTTTGCCTTTTGGGGAAATCTATTATTGTGATGAATGTTATAGTCTTGTGAATGTATGAATCTTGGTTTTTCCATAATTTTATCTATGGTTGAATGCTTCCTTATAATTCTTTAATTAGTTGAATTTTTATGTGTAATTAATTGAGGATTAAATGGGGAATCTAGTGATGGCAATGCATGGATTTCATTTGATACACTTGTTGGTTAATATGATGGGTTATACTTATGCTCGATGAATTGTTTTACTCTTTTAGTTTAATTACTTTAATTTCATTGTCTTAGTTTAATTGTAGTGTAATTACATTTCAATTCCTAGATAGGTAGACAATCCATGCTTGTGTTTGATAATCTATGCTTATTGTTACAAGTTGTATTATTCTCTAGATTAATGTGTGTTACAATTGAGAATTAATTGGATGGTTTATTCTTTGACTTGATGAGTTATGCTACAGCCTAGTTTACTTGTTGATTAAGTGGACAATTTATGCTCGTATTGATATCCATGCTCATTGTTGTAATTGATAACACACGTACATTTAGGTTACAACATTATTTTTTCCCCAATTAGATGAATGCCAGTGGTTTAGAGACGAGCTTAGCGGTGATTCCTATACCCTAAGACCTCTCTCCTATTCTCACAACTCTACTCTATTTAGCTTGTTTTCTCTTGCATTGTTTAATTTAGTTAATCATAGCTTAATTAAACCAAATCAAAACCTCTATCAATCAATTAATTCACTAATCCAAGTTTAATTTCAAGTATCCCTTTCAAATCTCTTAGGACGATCCCTTCTCACTTCATACTACATAGTATAAGTGTTTAGTGGTTTTATAAATTTTAAATGTAATGGCCACTTGACATTCTTTAAAAGTTTGACACATTTTGTGCATGCACCACAGGAGACATCAATGACCGTGTAATATTTTCCTTTTTCGGGATATTTATTTATTTATTATTATTATTAGTATTTTATTATTTATTTCCGTTCTTGTTACCTTAGGGTTTTGTGGGACTCGAGGTAGGTTTTGGTGTCTGGAATAGTTTTCTGACATTTCATGCATTCACTTTATTTTATTTTAATGTCAATGTATAGCTTAATTGTGTAGAAAAGTATGGTAGTTCATTTTCATTTCTTGGGGGTATAATTGTATTGTTTCTTTGGGAGACATTTTCATTTTTGGGGTTATTTGTGTGAGTTGTACGCAGCGGAATGTTTTAGAAAGTTTTGATTATTTTGAAAACAAATCTTGTGTTTTTTTTTTTAACTTTCTTTATTTTAGTATTTAGGGCAAATTTCTCAAATCCCCCATTACTTTCAAAAAATATTATAAAACCCCAACCAGTTTTAAAAATCCCCAACAATATAATAACGTTATCATTTTACCCAAATTCTGTCAATTGGTCATTAAAAGTATGTGAAGTGACTAAATTACCCTTATGATATTCCATTTTATTTAAAAAACCAAAAAATCATATTTTTCAAATTACAATATTACCCTCTTTGACTTTTGGCTTTCAACTGTTCACAACGTCTCTTTTCGATACCTCTCGCCTGAAAATGCTACAGAACCATCACAAATCTGCCACAAATCCTTATTCTCTCTCTTGTTTTTCCATGTAAAATCACAAACTATAGAAGTAATTTTTGTTTACAAAACCACTTTTTCCCTATTTTTTTATCAAATCTTCATAATTAAAAATTTTCCTGTCCATTTTCTTTGATTTTCTCGCCCACCTTTTTGTTCTATAAATCAACCCATCTGCAACCTCAAAAACCTCTTCCACTTCTCTTCTCCCCCTCCCTTGTAGATCTTGCTTTTCCAAGTT